TCCTGAGATTTCTTCAGGCGGGCTTGGACAAGGGGCTCTCGCCCAACACCTTAAGGAGGCAGGTGGCAGCGATTTCGTCTGTTTTGACTTCCAACTCTCTCCAGCCTTTGTCTCACCAACCGCTTATACGACGTTTCCTACGGGGGGCCACCAACTTGTCTCCCCCGGTTTTTCATAGATATCCCACTTGGGACCTTTCCCTTGTGTTGAACTCTCTTACTGAGCCACCATATGAACCGTTACGGACAGTCAGTCTACGTCTTTTGTCATACAAAGTAGCTTTCTTGGTGGCTATAACATCTGCTCGGTGTATTTCGGAGATCGCTGCACTTTCTATGAGGGACGATTTGTGTGTCTTTCATGTTGACCGGGTTGTCCTTCGACTCGACCCCACATTTGTGCCTAAGATTAACTCTCCTTTTCACCGTTTACAGGAACTGGTTCTCCCAGACTTCTGCCCTCATCCGTCTCATCCATTAGAACGTCGATGGCACATGCTGGATGTCCGGAGGGCTCTTCGGATCTACTTGACAAGGACTGCGGACATTCGTCGGTCTGAGTCATTATTTCTCCCTGCTTCGCTAGGTGCCAAGGTGTCGTCGTCGAGGATTGGCCGTTGGATCCGGTGCACGATTGCTACAGCGTACGAACTTCGTTCCTTACCGTCTCCTGCCAGGGTAACGGCACACTCGACGAGAAGTGCTTCAACCTCAGCGGCCTGGTCCACGCAGGCTTCGCTACTCGAAATCTGCAGAGCGGCTACCTGGACCTCTCCTTCCCCTTTATTCATCATTATAAGATAGACAAATTTGCTTCTGCAGAGGCTGCCTTCGGGCGGAGAGTTCTCCAAGGAGTTCGAGGGGACGGGGAGTTGCTTGCCCAGACTGTACCCTCCCTAGACTTGGGACACTGATCTTGGGTATGTCCCACTTCTGGCTGCTGTCTCCACCCCACAATGGAGAAGGGGCATTGGTCCTACCTGACACGCACCTTCTCGTTGGGTGGAGACAGCAGCCAGTCCCACCCTGTCAGTCTGGACATTAATGTGTTTATTCTCCTGTTTTTTATTCCACACGTCTAGCCTGTCTTCATCCTTCACAAAGCTGGGAGCCCCTAGCAACGGGGGCGGGATTTAGCTTTGACAGGCTCAGTCCTTCATCTGATTGCATGAGCTGAACCCATTTCTGGCTGCTGTCTCCACCCAACGAGAAGGTGCGTGTCAGGTAGGACCAACGCCCCTTCTACTTCTTTTGACAAATATTCATTCCTTCTATCAAATACCATAACAATTACCTTTCTACCAGCATTTATGTTAAATGCTTTATACTTCTAACATCACAAACATTGTTATTGATTTATTAAAGTGTCAAGTTCTCATCACACATCCATGTTTTACTCCCTGCTATGCCTATTTATTTTATTATATCCTCATGTTCGTACAGTTCTTGTTACCTTTTCAAGAACAAATATATGAATGTACATCATACACCCAATATAAAGTTTCAGTACTCTGGTCCAATTTTGTTTATTCTTTTCTCTTTTACCCTTTCAGCCAGAATTCTGTGAGGCACACTTGACAAACTAATTTTACTGTAGGTTCTGGATACAGATTTGTTACTTTTCTTTTTGGAAGAATGCCATTCTTTCTCATTATACAACTATCAGGCATAGATGTATTTTTCACAACCTAATAAACAAGTAACATAGCTATTCTATAAACAAAAAGCATACATATTTTAATTTTTTATATTACACTATATTTGCAACCTTACAATATTTAGACATTCTCACATTTTGTCATATTTTTCATAATCATTTTCTGAACATTAACATTTATAGCATTTATTTCCATTCCATTTTCACTACCATTTCCTATATACAGTTGTGGCCAAAATTGTGGAAACCTTTTCGGAAAAGTGGATTTTTGAGGTTTGATGGCTAATAACGCCACTTTTTTGGGAGTAGTACCATATAATTATATATCAATGGAAAGATAATTTAATCAGTAATGTAATGCAACAAAGGTTGTTTAATTATCTGTATTCTATGAAAAGTTTCAGCCAAATAAACCAGAAAAAGGAAGCACAACTTGCTTAGGTAAATATCAGGTAGCTTTCCTCATCTGATTGTACCCAGTGAGCATGAGTGTTTAGAGAGCCAATCAGGTATCATCTTGTTTTGGCAATGAGCCAATCAGATCACACTAGGATTCAGTTATTGATGTCATGTATTGAAGCTGAGAGGAGGACATTTGTTAGTGTGTCTAACCCACTATTGGGTTTTTTTGTATTTTTTCATTTAGTGAGCTTGTAAAACGTAATAAAATTAAAGTGAGGTGCAAAGAGTTGAGTGGTCGCCCAGAAAGCAATGTAAAATAGTAGTATTAGGTGAACAAGGCTACAGTGATAAAGAAATTAGAAGAAAAATTGTTGGAAACTTAACCAAAGGTGGTATTTCTAAGTTTTTGAAGAGGTATAAGGAGATTCAGTCACTACAAAACCACACTGGTAAAGACAGGAAAAGGTACACAACAGCAGTGATGATAGAAGAATTAAGAGACTGTGCCTACGTGACAGAAGAAAATCATCTGGGTGTATACAAGATGAAAAGGTGCAATTCAGTGTGAAGTTGAGTGCAAGGACTGTTCGGTGCAGACTGCAGGAATTTGGCCTAAAATTTAGAACTCAATGAAAAAAGCCACTTTTATCTCTCAAACAAAGCTTGAAAAGACTAAACTCGGCTAAAACCCATGTTACCTGGACAGAGAAACAATGGGCAGTGTTATTTGGAGTGATGAGACCAAGATCTCCCTGTTTGGTAGTGATGGCATAAAATACGTAAGGAGAAGAATCGGAGAAGATTTGCATCCTGACTGCATAACATGTACCGTGAAACACCCAGTCAGTGTTATGATCTGGGACTGTATGATATCAAAAGGTGTGGGCAGAATTTGTGTGATTAATGGGAATATAAATGGACAAAAATACATGAATGAAATACTTGAGCCAACTGAAGCCTTCCGCACATGATCTTTTCCAAGACAATGAAGCATTTATATTTCAACAGGATTCATCTCCATGTCATGTTGCTGCTGTATGCAAAAAGTGCTTTCAAGATAATCATATTCCACTGCTGGAGTAGCCTGGGAATAGCCCAGACCTTAACCCAATTGAAAATCTATGGAGCCTAAAGAAACTTGTCAGAAGCTACCCAGCAATAAACCCCATTTAATAGAAGCAATCATTCAATCTTGGTTTCACATTATAACAGCTGCTGAACTAAAAGACTTGGTTCACTCCATGGGAAGATGTTGTAAGGCCGTAATTCATGCTAAAGTTACCCGACTAAGTATTAACTGACGTGATAATTTTTGTATATCTCGTTTTTTCTATGGCGATCATATTTGTTTATCTCATTTTTTCTACATGTTTCACTTTTCTTCTTTATAACTGAAGGATTCTATAATCCTTCATAAAAGATTACATTACATTCTTGATTAAATTATCGTTCCATTCATATATAATTTTATCGTATTACTCAAAAAAAAAGTGGTGTTATTTTTTTTTTTTTTTAAATTTGATTTATATGCCGCCCTTCTCCGGAGACTCAGGGCGGCTTACAATGCGTTAAGCAATAGCCTTCATACTTTTGTATATTTATGCAAAGTCAGCTTATTGCCCCCCACAAACTGGGTCCTCATTTCACCTACCTTAGAAAGGATGGAAGGCTGAGTCAACCTTGAGACTGGTAAGATTCGAACCTGCAGTAATTGCAGGCAGCTGTGTTAATAACAGGGTGCTTTAAACCACTGTACTACCAAGGCTCCTATTATTAGCCATCAAACCTCAAAAATACTTTTCCCAAAAGGTTTCCACAATTTTGGCCACTACTGTATATAAAATTCATTTCAATATTTATCAGTTCCTTTTAACATTTCATCCCTCTTATTTTTATCAATTTGTTTTCTCTATACAGGACACAAATTTTCTCTTTCAATAGTCATTCTTTCACTTTAGCTTTTTTTCATTTCTTTCCATATCTATTTTTTTCTCCAAATAAGTCTGTATCGCGTTCAGACTTTTCCCTGAGCAAACATTTACCCCAAAAATCTTCATTCTCTTTCATTGTAGGGCCTCTAAATGGCCTATTTACTTTTGTCTTCTTATCCACTCACTTAAATCATCTAATTAAACTGCCCGCCACCCTATTATATTAACTCAGAACATTATATAATTTCCTCAGAATGATACACAGAACTAATAATTGTTCTTCTATTATGACTGCCCACTGGGCCTTAACTTGTAATTATCACCAACCTGTGGATTTCTGTTTTTGTATACACACCAGATAATCTATATAATATCTCATAACGACCCTCTCATTCAGGACAGCTATGCCATCACTTTCCAACATGACTCATCAACTCTGTTCTATACAGATGGGTCAGTATCTTTCAGGCTTATTCTTCCCATTTCTTGTAGTCTCATAAACATTCAACCTACCTATTTTTTTTTCATTTGTTAATTCATGCTGTTTAACATTTCTCATGCTTGCAGTCACAGTCTTCTATAGCCTTCATCAAAGGGGCCCATAAATGCTGTAGTACATATAGATTAGGCCTGTCTTTAATCATACTGGTGCAACATGTAGCGCCCATTATTATAATTAAAAACATCACATAGTTTTGACACATTTTGGTAATATACAAGTTCAGCTCCAATTCAGTTGTACTCCAAGCATGCTCATACTGTTCTATGAAAGCTTCGATTCCTAATCATATCAAAATTTGCATCCTACCAGCTAAAAGCTCCATATTGTAGCTATCCTGATACAAATTCAGAATAATGTTGCTTTTTTGGAATTATGCTAATTCATGAATGTCAGTCACCTTGAGTATTGTTTTACCGTGGAGAAATATGATGTAAGTAATGTTAATATATCTCTGATGTTGCAAATGTAAATTAAACATATTTCTGTTATCTTTTTTCATACTAAAGCAGAATCAAGACCGGAAGCATAGGACTTATGTTTATGTTCTCACAGTGACTGAAATCCTGGAAGACTGGGAAGATTCAGTAAATATAGGCAAGACTTTTTCTATCTTATATATGCTAACTTTTTAAAACAAAATGAGTGTTTTTAAAATGTTACATTTAGGAATGTTATTTTTAGGAAATGTTCATTCAAGTTACGATACTATGTCATTTAAGTTATAAGCATAGTGTGTGTGTGTGTCTAGTGTACAAGTGTGTTACTGACAAGGGAGCAAATAAGCAACCTAAATCATACACAGTCCAAATGGTTAGTTTTTCATAGTATGTCTGTTTATAACTCCAAATGTTAAAGATCCTTATTCAGTAAGATGCTAAGATATACATAAACATTTCATATAGAGATGAAGATTTTGCCAGCTTGCAAGCAATAACCTTATTTCTCACATTTATAAGCTTTTCTTAAATATATTAAAATTTTAAATTTTAAAATACAAATACTTAAATAAAAATTATTTTAAAAGTATAGCACAGGGGTCTGCAACCTTAAACACTGAAAGAGCCATTTGGACCTGTTTCCCACAGAAAAGAAAACACCGGGAGCCACAAAACCCTTCCCATGCCTGACTATTTCTTAAGCGGCCATAAAACTAGCATATGTAGTTGAATTAAACATTGTTTTCTTCTGAAACTTTTCTTTTCTTGGATTTATCCATTGTTGGCCTACTGGGGGTTCAAAAGTTCAATAAATCGCATGCCAGCAGGTGCTGCACATTAGCGGTTGTGACACATATTTTGAGTGACGGAGCTGCAGCAGAGGGGTGAAAGAGCCACATGCGGCTCCAGAGCCACAGGTTGCTGATCCCTGGTATAGCAAAATAGTGTGAAAAAGTTACTTACTTTTTTGTAAAACTTGTTTACAAGTTATCTAAGTTTATAGGCAAACAATAAATTGACCAAATTTCCTGATGGTACTAAATTGTTTAAAAGGGGCATTATGTAGTACTCTGAAGGATTTCTCCAAATGTAGTGAATGGATCTCACATAGATAAGTGTGCTGACTTGCAAAATATGAGCACAAAAATTCACTAGAATCTTCAGGAAAAAGTAGAACATTTATTTATTTATTTTATTTTATTTTATTGGATTTCTATACCGCCCTACTCCCAAAGGACTCAGGGTGGTGAACAGCCACAGAATAAAACACATAAATACAAAAATTTAAAATAGAATAAAAACAAATTAAATAATTTGGCTGAGACAAATTTAAAACACCCAATAATTTAAAAACAAATTTAAAATTTACATTTAAAAGGGGAGAAGATTTAGGCCAGGCCAACTTGATGAAATAAGAAAGTCTTGAGCGCGTGACATTGAAAGAGGTTTAGAAAAACTTAATGAGAAAAGTATGTATGTGTTTTGACAGAAGGTCAAAGAAAAAGACTTGGAAACAAACTGATCAAGTTTTCTTAGAGTTTTGTAGATTATATCATTTTTCCATGCTTTCTCTTTTTTTATTGTTGATGATACATTTAACAGGTGTGTAGGTGTGTGTGTGTGTGTGTGTGTGTGTGTGTAAAAGTATAAGTAATATATATATATTTCTTCTAGGAGTTTCTTACCAGAATCTGGCCATATGGTTAGGATTTAGCAAATACCATAGGTATCCTCGAGAAAGACAAGCCACTTATGACCATTCAAAGTTATGACCGACACCCAAAACTACTTACAACCTTGTTTCAAAGTTAAGGGCTTCGGTGCTCCCACATTATTTGCCCTTATAACAGATCATGGGGATGCTGTAGTGCTCCCCTGCCTCTCTTGTGGAAGCAGCTGCCATTTTCAGCACCTCAACAATTCCTTGTAGAAATAGCAGTTGCTTTCAGAGCTTTCTGCCCCATCAGCTGGCCAGTAGGAGTCTGAACATCTTTTGCAAGGTTTTAGGAAGCCAATTTCTGTGTGCCCACAAGCTGCAGCTTCTGGATGAACTTCAAGGGAAAGTTAAACCTTTCCCTTGGTTTAACTCCCTCCCTCCCCCAGAAAGCCACAGTTCTTCAATTTAAAAAAAAAAAAAAAGCTGGGAGGGAGCACTTGTTGATCTCCCTGCCTCTGCTCTCCAATCTCCCATCCCTTTTAAAAACCTTATCTTGACTCAAGGGTGAAGAGTAGAGGAACAGAAGCAAGCAAGAAAAAATCTATCTGCAACTTTTTCCCTTGAACTGAAAAAGTTTAGCCAATTAGAGACTTGTGCAACAAAATGGAGGATGCAGTATTTGCGAGCTTTAGCTGTTCACCTGTGGAACCTAGCTAGGACTTAAAGGCTAGACTGTATACTGTCTCTTATAGGCAGGCAATCGACTAAAGCTTGCAAAGGCTCAACATCCTCTATTTTGTTGCACAAACCTGTAATCAGCTACACTTTGGGAGATGAATTTTTCAGTGGCCAGCTGATGGGGTAGAAAGCTGCAAAAGGCTAGGGAGCTGGTTCTTTTTTTTGCCCCAGAAAGGCAGAGCACCTTGACAGGAGGAAGGGCAGGGGCAGAATTAGGAAAGGCAAGTGTATCCAGCATTGTTTCCCATCATTTCTCCTTGGTAAGACAACTATGCAGTAGGCCAGCATATAAGGCACCCAAGGCTTGGGAAGAGGAGCATGGAGTATCTCAGGATGGGGGAGGCCTTGGAAGGACTGAGGCAGGTGGGCCTGTACTTTACTAGGCCTCCCAGGATCTCCACCACCCCTGAACTCCACTTACAGATCTGTGCATTTGTTTAACACTTGACAAAGGCACTCGAAAGAGAGGGATAGCTGGTTGTTAATTGAGGCACTTCATTTAACATTGGCCAAACCTCTGACCCAAATTGGCAGGCTCCGTTATGTTGTAACTTGAGGACTACCTGTACTGTTTGCCAGTCATTCGGCAAACAGCTCTGCTTTTCACTGTTGTCTTAGGTAATTTATTAAAATACATTAGCCATTCAGAACATCACTTGGGAATAAAAGGACAAGACAAATAAAAAAAATCATTAAAGAATAAACATTTTCCCTCAATATCAGAACTAATTATCTGTTAAACCTAAATGCAGGAAAATTAATTATAAACATACTATTAAAATATAGAATTCAGTCATTTCATGAGTATCATCAAGTTTTAAAAGAGACTAAATAGGATTGGCTGATCAATGGCTATGGATCTTGAAGCCTGAATCATACAGAATATACCTGTTACGGAATATGGAAAGGGCTAGCTATCTCACAAGCAAGTTTGATAACTTTTTGAAGCTTCTTCTTTTTGGCCATCACGTTCTGTGGAATACAGGTAGTCCTCAACTTACAACTACAATTGAGCCCAAAATTTCTGTTGCTACGTAAGACATTTAAGTGAATTTTGCCCCATTTTACGATCTTCGCAAAGTTAAGTGAATCATTGCAGTTCTTAAGTTAGTAACACAGTTGTCAAGTGAATCTGACTTCCCCATTAACTTTGCTTATTAGGAATCGCAAAAGGTAATCACATAACCCTGGGACACTGCATTGGTCATAAATAAGAGTCAGTTGCCAAGCGTATGAATTTTGATCATGTGACTATGGGGAGGTGCAACGATCTTTAAGTATGAAAAACAGTCAAAACGTTTTTTTGATGTTGTCATAACTTTGGTCACTAAATAAACAGTTGCAAGACGAGGATTACCTGTATTAGACTATGTTACCTTGGTGTTGCCTGTATTTTAAGAATAGATCTGAAATTTCTGGAATGTTTAAAGTCATTTTTATATGCAACATTGTTAAATAATGAAATAAAGGAACTTTCAGAAGCTTGTTTACTTAATGAATTTCTGTACCAGCCATCTCACTTAAATGACTGAAGTTATATAGTATTAGTGGAGTTTCAAACAAGCTGAACCTTAAAATATTATCTTTCTTTCTTCACAGGAAGGAAGAGAGAATGGTTTAAAGTTGAAGATGCAATCAAGGTCCTTCAGTGTCACAAGCCTGTACATGCAGAGTATTTGGAAAAATTGAAACTTGGGTGTCCCTCTACCAATGGAAATCCTGTAGTTTCTTCCCACCCTGATAATAGTTCTATCTATGTTACTTCAGCACAAACCTCTGGGCTACCATCTACTATAAGATAAATTTTAAGTTACTTTTTTCATGTTCTTCCATCACAAGTGGAAATGTATTAGTGATCCTGTGCTGTGTGTATTGTAATCAAAATCTTGAGTCCGTGAATACTTTGCGTTCAGTCTTACTTTTTTCTCTTTTTAGCAATGTATTTTGGCAAATCAAAGCCATACAGGGATTTTTAAAGATGCCTTAAATGGTCCTTTTTCATTTTTAAATATAGTACCTAATTTAAAAAGTGAATTTGAAACTTGACATTTGACTTAATTCAGTTTCTTAAACTTTCTCAAATAATTATATTGCTTTATCCCATTCATTGTTGTTTCCCAAAGTCAAAATTAAATTAGTTGGAGGAGTTAAGGCAATGAAACCAACAAAGTGCCTTCAGTGTTAAGCTTCCTCCTTTAAAATGTTCCATAGAAAAATCAGAGCATATTGATGTTTTTTTTTAACTTTTATCGTTTCTTCATATTGCTCTTGTTAAAGATTTTGGCCGAATAGGCAGATATCACAAAATGCCAAATTTTTTTCACTTTTGCTACTTATTGCCAAAGTTAGTATTCACTTTCTTTGCAGTTCCAGCAGGTTTAATTAATTACTGGAGACCATTCCAACTTTTTTCAGTCGTTTTATAGATTATGTGAATCATATTATTTGGAAGATAACTGTTTGGGGGGCTAAAGGGGGGCAAGGTCATATCAGAACATTAAAATGTTTTCATATCTGCCACTAAAACATGCATGTTTTTTCTCTAAACAGTAACAAGTTGTAATTTCACATTTTTTTAAAAAAAAACATCACTAAATTTCCATTTTTCTGTAAAGACAGTTTTGGTTGAGGTAAACAACCACTTCTGTTGTAAAAATTTCTCTCTTCTCATTCTTTCTATGTAACATACATTCACTGTAAATAATTCAACAGATGTAAAGTGTAAAGTGGAAAGTAAATGTAATGTAAATACAATTGTTCAGCCATTTGGGTTGCCACCTATGATTTTCATGTCTTAATAGTGACATAACAAGCAGGAATTTCAATAGCTCAATTTCTTTAATATACCTTCAGATTATTCTGGTTTTTTATTACACAGCTGTTAAAGGGACAACAGTTATGCCTAAAAACAGGTGGGGACTATACACTATGTAATGCTGCTATGAAATAACCACTTACTGTTGGCAATTTTTTTAAAGTGTCATAATTTTTCCTCTAGAAAAATGGAAATGATAATGTGCCATATGTATGAATCTAAATAAGGAACATCTGTAAAATATAAGAACAGTTGTGAGCTTTCATTTAAGAAGAACGTAATAGTAGTAATAGAGGATTGATATGAAGTTCTACCATAGGTAAGAACATTGAAATTTTAGTAGCTTAGATGATGGTGGGAATCATAGGGCGCAATCAGTTTCAAAGAGCCCTATGTAAAGTCAAAATGAGAACACAGACTTAATACAGAAACCTTGTATTAACTGGAATGGGAAAGTGATTATAAGTAATGTACAATCCTAAATTGGCTGTTCAGGCCCATGTTTCTATTTATTATTCAATAGTTTATTGACCATATAGTTGTAAAAGTGAGAAAATGTCTCACATTATCATAGTGATGAACAGAACAGTAAGCCAAGTCTGTAGTTCTTAACAGCTTCATCTCAACATTTTTGGAATATAATCTAAGCTAATAGAAATCGCAGATTACTAATGCATGGTTATTTTGCTTTTCATCATTATATACTATGTAAAAATGTACAGTTTACGCTAACTAAATCAAAGGTGAGTGCTTATAAATACTTCAGGCTGCCGTGCCACATAGTTACACTGATGTACAGATCTCTTTAGCCTATGCAATTTAAAATTACATCCTCCTCAGATTTCTGATATCTCTCTTGCAACATGATACACAGGATAAGAAATATCCATCGTTCAATTTCTTGAATTTACAAGTTCATTGAATAAAGTTAAACATTCTTTAATTCTATAATTTGCAGGCTGTGCAGTGCTTTGAAATTGGTTTACGAAAAATATATGGCTGCCAGACAAGTGTTCAGCTTGTGCTCCAAAGCACCTCTTCTAAACTGAATCCAAAGAAACCCTTAGCTGTACTCTACTAATTTGCAAGTATAGGCAGGGCAATAGTTGTGTCAGATATAATAGGAAAGACCTCTTGCAAGATAAAATCTTTTATAACTAATAAAAAGAGCATGGTTTTCTGTAAATTGTCAAAGTATTGAAATATTCTTGTAGAATTAAGATGTAGATCAAAACTTGCTCTTCAGTGACATGCATTTGGTCTCTCAGAGGAATGGAAATTGATTTGGATCTTCATGTACAAAAGTTTGTTATAGAGAATAAGTAGTTGGGAACATACCTTATAAGCAGTGTAAGAGGCAACAAGAAATAATTAAAATCTCATGTTTACTGCAAGCTACCAAAGCTATTAAAATGTTTGAAACAATTGTTCAATGTGCTCCTGAAAGTGTACATACACAAAGACAAAACACAATTCAAGTTGTAAACGTTTTGAGCTGAGCATGGCTTTCTTTTAAAGACTGATGTAAGAATTTTGACTTTTTATATCTGAAAGAAACCTCAAATAAAAAATAAACACTTCCTGAAGACTGCTGTTCCTTTTTACAAAGTTTAGCATCATGATTAAGCAGTGCTTCACCAGGTCTAGAACCCACAAATATACTGCCACAACAGAAGCAGATTCAATCAAGCTGGCTGGCTCTATGTATTCATACTAAGTTCTAATCAAATTCTCATCTACCGGAAGTGCTTCTCATCAACTTTGTAGGGGAAGAGCCAATTTGGTGTATGTATACAAAGTATCAAGTGCCTGGTAACCACTTTTTCAGTGATTGGCATGTTATATTAAAAGGAATAAGTTTTCATGAGCTGCACTTCATCTCACCAAGTGCCCTTAGGAGTATAATAATCTTTGTGTAATACGCTGAAAACATTTTTCGCTTTCTGTCCTTTAGAATGATGCCCTGTTGTTTGCACTTGCTTTAAAATGTGTCCATCTCTGCCATTTTCTTGTTCAGAGTTGGAAATGTACGAGACCAGATACCAAAACACTGTTATTGCTATTTTAGCAAAAAAAAAACACCTATGCTTCTAGTAATGTACCAAAGCACATTAATATTCTGTATTGCTTACAGAATGTCCAAGGCTCTGTCTACAGCACTTGGAATTTGATCAAATATAGAGGAAGATTGATCTGGAGAGCTATACTGATTAATAATCTACAGGGACAATGAGGCAATGTTTGGAATTTGGTTCAAAAGAAGCATTTGACAATCTGCACTAGGACAAAAGGGCATAGGAGCCTAAAAAAACATGTTGCCCTCATATCAGTACAAAGGGGGAGACCCATTCAGATCTACCTCATGTTGCTGATTTCTCTCATTGTGGACTTTCATCATCCACAGTCTTGTCTCTCTTCTTAACCCCACCACAAAATGGCAGGAGGAAGTATAAAAGTCAAAATCGCTATGCAAAAGGGAACAGGACACTAGATTCAAGCGACAGCAAATACCATGCAACCATCTCTATAATGACAACTGGATTGGGCACAACCTCAGCAACAGACTTAATTTGCTCTGGTCAATGATCAGGAATGTTTCCCTCAACCTCTGGGCTTGTAAGGAAAAGAGAGAAGCCAAATTATTTGAGAACTTAGCTATTGTGATGATTTTTTATTTTTATTTTTAATTTGATTTATATGCCGCCCTTCTCCGGAGACTCAGGGCGGCTTACAATGCGTTAAGCAATAGCCTTCATACTTTTGTATATTTTATACAAAGTCAGCTTATTGCCCCCACAAACTGGGTCCTCATTTCACCTACCTTAGAAAGGATGGAAGGCTGAGTCAACCTTAAGCCTTGGAGAGATTCGAACCAGCAGTAATTGCAGGCAGCTGTGTTAATAACAGGGTGCTTAGACCACTACCATCAAGACTCAGTTTGGACTTCCCTTGATTTTTTTACCTTTTCTCTGGAAAGAAACATCTAGTAACTAATAGGACCTGAGCGACGATGGGAGTATAAATCAGAAGCATCTCCAATCAACTTCTCACAGAATAGTCTGTGAGACTATTAATGCCACTGGCAAAGTCTGTGAGACTATCAATACCACTGGCAAAGAGACAACAGTTGTCAAGCTGAACAGGCAGCCACAATGATTACTATACTACCTCTTAAGTAACTTCAAAGTATTTGCTTCTGAATTGAGGGCCTTTTTTAAATTTATTAAGGAATAGAAGAATACTGCCAAACCAAGAACTTGCGCTCTCCAGCAAACTGAATCTCCTTGCAAAAAACAAAACCCCAGTTCTGCTGACCGTAGACAAACCTGGATCTGTGTTATCTCAATATTGGAAGCGGTCTTCCTCAGATTCAGGTAGTCACCAGGCTAAGTGGTACTAAGAATTCTATTTAACACAGGCAGCAGGGCAAGCACAACAGCAAACTCAAGTATGATTGAAATCTCAGTTCTCTGGACTTAAGCCGTATTCCAAAAGGTACCAGTAGGGGCAAGACACTGGAAAGGGGACTAAAACAAGCTAGAAATCTCAAAATTCTTGAACCTCACCCACAGCCAGCCTCCAGTTCGTTGCCAAAGCCAATATGACTTCAGATATAGAAACAGGTTGGAGGTTACGACTCAAATACTGGGAAGTGGTCAACTTCACAAAACCTTATATGCAAATAATTCATGTAAAGAAAACTGGCAATTCCCTAATACTAACTGTGATCAAATTTAGGGATCAAAAGTCATTGCAGAGTCCAAAAGAAATATAAATCTAGATCAAGGAAGAAATCCAGCCTTCGGCACTTTTGTTTTCTCCAGGAAATTAACAAATTAATTTTTACCGATCCTCCAAACAACAAACCCCAAGACAACCTGTGTTCTAGACTTAACAACGCAAACTGTATCTACAATCTGAATACACAAAGAAGCAAAAACTTTGTCACAAAAATTAAAAAAACAGGGAGAATGGCATAGGAACTACTATAACTGTTGTAAATGAAAATAGATTCACAGCATCATGTCTTGCATGCCATCCTCACTTCTTGAATGTGGAAACCACACAGACAGCGCCATGAGTCTGTTCGCATTTACATCAACTCTAATGGTTCCTACTACTATAGAAGTACATACATAACAGAATGCATATATGAGTGAAAATTCTGGAGGAATTTAAAGCACCTATGCTGATAGCTGAAACTTGCAAACTTACCAAAAATCATTTCCAAAAATAATCAAAAGTACAAATCATGACATCAATCTCCAGAAGAGATTGGTGAAGAGATCATGGCCTCAAGATGTTAGCTTGGAAGTTTTTACATACCACATATATGCAAGCTAATAATATACAAGGTACTTAGAATATACTTGAAGTATACCCTAGAAACCAGAAAGCTACATTATTTGGCTTCACACTATCATTAGCTACACAATAAGCATACTGCCACACAGAAACAAGCCTACTCTCATAGATATCACCATTCACTTGAGAGCCTGCAACATCAACACCACCAGAATCATAAGCCTTCAATGGATTTTTGTAGGACAGTTATGTGGACAAGTCCTTCCATCTTGTCAGTCACTACTTAGCTTTCATTAAGTGTACTGTTTGTCCAGTTGTGTAGAGTGCTGTAAAGAATTCTTAGGAATAATAATACAAAACATTGTTCTCATGTCAGCGGCACATACCAATAGTCAATCACTTAGACTTGTGAAGAATTGTCCTGCTCACCAGATTATAGACCAGGTGGATCATCCAATTAAATAGGAAGGTCCCCAGGTGAAGAAAACAATTATGTTAATAATTATGTTTATAAGCAACAATCAATACAATAACTAGAGCAGTAGTAAAGAATTAAGCTTTCACTGAAACATTCTTCTGCCTATTCAAGAATTCCTAGCCAAGAATATTTGTAGAAATACTTCTCAGCTCGTTACTTCTGAATATTCATGTTTTCTTCACGCATTGAGAACAAAAATTGTTTTGAGCATTAAAAAATGAAGTTATTCCTACAATTTATCATACATTGCAGCATAGCATAAAGAAACATTGTGATATAAACTTCCTTGTTCTAGTTTTTAGGATCAAGATTAAGGATTGACAACTCTAAATATTTTTTATTTATGAAGCAGTAAACTAAGGTAAGAAAATGGTACTGACATCAAGCCATGAACTCCCGTCATATTCATATTCAACTTCAGAATATAAAGCTATTTGAGAACTCAATTAACTTCATTTTACAAATAAACCTAGTGGAGTTTATGCAACACAGAAATCCCCTAAGTATGCTTTGCTCAGTCCTCTTTCCCTATCATATGATGGCCTTATAAAGATGACATCCTAAGGTAACAGACTTCCCACAGAACATGCAGAACCTTAATCCTTTTTCAAACTGAAAGCAAATATGATAAGAGGGATAACTATCTGAATTTACACAAGAGGGCTTCAAAACTTTAAATGCTTCAGAATCTAGTAGAAAATTCAATCATGGTACCACACAAGTTACAACCCTTTATCATCATTTAAATCAGTGTTTCTCAATCTTGGCAATTTAAAGACATCTGGACTTCAACTCCCAGAATTCTCCAGCCAGCCAAGCTGTCAGAGGAATTCTGGGAGTTAAAGTCCTAAGGTCTTAAAGTTGCCAAGGTTGAAAAACACTGATTTAAATTGATCTATGTACAAATTTCAGTTTCAAATACAACAAAACTGGTCTGAGTAATAATGACAAATCACACTGATGTTTCAGCATCAAATCAAATTGTGGCTTCCAACAAATCAAGTGTATTTTATGTTGCCAACCAGAAAATAAGTAAATAGTCATTAAACATGAATCCCAATGAATTACTACTATAAACAGGTCATGATTCTTCAACTGATTAGACAGATGGTTGATATATGTGAAGGGAAGACCTCAGCCTTCTTGGGAGTAAGACTTACCAGAGAATATTTTCAGACTTACTGCTGGATGAGCATAAAGGTTTTAACAGGGAAAGGCAAGGAAGGGCAAGGGAAAAAGCAAGCCGATAAGAGAAAGCGACACAAAAAGAAGTTATATAAAAACTATTAAACTACCAACCATTCATAAAGAGGCCCAACCTTAAAATAGCTGATTTCCCTGATGAACTGAGCCATTTCCTCCAACAGAAATGCCAAGTAGAACGCATAGGAGCCAGGTTCTATCAAGAAAACCTGCTGCTTCAACTTGGGGCTGGGCTGGCATTCTACATTTGCCTATTTGGGAGGGCACAAGGTAAATTGCTACTGCCAACATGGCTTTTCTTCAGTTGGACAGTGTATTTTTGACAGAAGCATCAGAGGGGGTTACGGTCATTTTAAAGCCCTGCTCCTGACAGTTTAAAGAGGCTGGCGTGAATAAATTAATCTCTCCCCTCCTTTGGCATGTCCAACATTTGTAAAATTTGGAACTGTTTGCTCCCGTGGTAATGAAAGAGATAATGAAATTCTGTACTTTAGCTATCTGGTTAGGGGAAATCTACATTTTTAAATATCTGTGCAAAGGAAACAAAAATCAGTGTGATAATGCCAGCCTTATTTTTCAGAGGGGGATTCTCCA